CAAGGAGAGAACACTGAGACTCTCCCAATTTCAAAAACTAGTTCAGGGGAAGAGTAGCTAATAAAAAAGATTAAAAAATGAACAAACAAAAAAGCCAATGGAAAACCAACCAGCTAATCTCAGGGCTAAGTAATGCGAGGGAAACTAAGGGAGAGAGTTTTGAAGGAAAGGGAGTGGTCACAGGACCTAAAGCCCCTGAGAGTCAAGTAGTAGGAAGACAGAAAAAAAATGTCTATTGAGCCTTAATGGCAAGGAGGTCATAACTGACTTTGGTAGAAAGTTTCAGTGGGACAGTGCGTAAAACTCAATGAAATGTGTTGGGTAGAAAGTGGATTAAAAGAACAGGAGAGAGTGATTATACCTAACTCTTTTATGAAGCTTTGTTATAAAAGGTGGCAGGGCCTACTGCTGAAGTAGGCTGTGGAATTGAGAGGTTTGGTTTTAAGTTCATTTGCTTGTTGTTGTTGTTATTGTCTTTTTTTTTTTTTTTTGCTGGTTTTAAAATGGGACAGAGGTGGGGGCGGTTGGAGAGATTTTGAAAGAAGAGAAAGAAAGGAGAAGATACATTCATGATAGAGGGTATAATCAAAATAAGAAATCCTGGGAAGGCAAAAGGAGAGAACCAGTGTAGAACGGAGGTCTAAGAGGAGGTAAATCTCTTCCTTTGAAACAAACGGAAGAAGTAAAGCACTGATGTGTGAGTAAGCTTGTATATTTGACTGAAGAATATCTCAACTGATGAGTTTTACTTCATTTGTGGAGAAGTTAGGATTATCTGCTTTATAGACAAGAGGATATAGGATTAAAGGGAGAAGAGAAAATAGGAAAATTCATTGAAGAAAATCAGAGTGAATCGAAGGAAAAAACACAGTAAGACTGTGGGGGCAGAGCTGAGTACCCACTTGAAATTGGCAGCTTTGCATCCATAGTGGTGGCCATCTCTTTCCATGTGATGTTTTCTAAGAGTGTTTGGCCACTCAAGAGAAGTGGTGTTTTAGGTTAGGGCCTGATTTCCATGTAGACAAGCAAGTTGAGGGAATTTTCAGTGAAACTGTTAGAAAAACCTTACAGAGCCATTGAGAGTCCAAGTTTCCTTCTGTTCCAAAGAGATGGTTGTAGCTATGATAGCTATCATCTATCCCATAGCATAGTAGTACTTTTCAACTTTTATCAGCTGTCAACACCCATCAGCCCCACACCTGGGAGTTTACTCTTATACTTGTCTTCCTGTCTTCTGGATCCTTCCTCTTATGCACGATTAGATATAGTCAAGAGAGGATAAAACTCGGGAGTTATGGCACATGAACACACTGTGTCTCTGGATAGAAGCTGTGGAACCAGAACTCTAGCACTTTAGAATAACTGAGACAGTGTGGAAGTCCAGTGATCTCATCACAAGAAATATCTTAAATAAATTCAATGTCATCATTATTACAAAGCACAAAAGAGCTCTCCTTGGCTGATGATTAAGCAATAGTCCTCATCTGCAATCCACAGAAACTTAATAAGCACTTGGGCAACATCAGACACAAATCTCTTATCTTATTAGAGCAAGCATATGTTTTTCTTTCTTATGATATGGTAATGTGTTAAGTCCATTTTAATAGAGCCACAAGTTCTTACTCAGAGTGTTTAGCATCTCATTAGCATAATAAGCAAGGCATTCCCCATCTGAACCTGTCAACATACCAAAAGTATGTTTCCTATTCACTTTCCCAGACATCATAGTATACTGGTGAACATCTGGCAAACTGAAAAGTGTAAGGTTTGGGTCGCCTGGGTGGCTCAGTCGTTAAGCAACTGCCTTTAGTGGGGAGTCTGCTTCTCCCTCTCCCCCTGCTTGTGTTCCTGCTCTCACTCTCTCTGTCAAATAAATAAAAATTAAAAAAAAAAAAGAAAAGTGTAGGGTTTAATTTGAAATTCTTTTATGTACTTCCACCAGGTAAGTACAGTACCAAAGCCTGTTTATTTTCAAGAGATACTTATACTTAGATTTTGCCTACATTCCTATGACCTTGGTTTTTACCTTGGTTTTTTTTTTTTTTTTGCTTTTTGTTTTATTTTTGTTTTTTACTCAGAACTAAGCTAAATATGGCATATATTCTGTTATTCTTGTACAGCTCATGTTCATTCTCTTTTACATTTCGGAATTTTGCTGTGAATATACATAATCCTTGCTGGTCCTTTTGCAGGGAATCGAATTTCTAGGATTTGGTGCTAAATTCCAAGTTTCAATCTTCAAAAATCCTAGACTTTAAGTAGGAATGCATGTTATCCAAAATAAAGTATTTCCAAATCATAACAAAGACTTTGCAATTGGAAAATAGGGACTTGCTGAAGCTCATTAATTTCTCTGTCGCCATCTTTTTCTTAGGCACGAGTCAAAAAATGGTTTTGAACTTAAATTGAAAGTTAAACAAAACACAATTGAATTAGGCTTACAATAATAATTCAAGCCCTTCTGTGAGAAACAAGTCTAAACTTGTAACTTTTCTTTTTCTCTTTAAATATTCATAGAGAAACCGATTTGTTGAAAATCACCCTTTTTGAGTTAGAAGATACAGCCAGACTCATTGACTGAAAATATTTACATAATTGTTTAAATTTAGATGCTTTAGAGATTACTTCATCAAGTTGCTTACCAAATAGTAAATTTAATGAGGTTTCCACTGAAAATGTGCCATCACAATGGATAACAGTATGATACATAAGCAATGACCTTGCATTTTACTAAAATATAGGTCCTTATAATCAAAGTGCTATAGTTTAATGAACCCAAGATTTTCTAGATGCTTTACTGTTTCTTGACAGTGATGTAATCTTGATGGAGGAGGACCTCAAAGCAAATATAAATATAAATAGAAGCACCCTGGAGGCTTTGACAGTAAGACACTACTTTTTGAATAGTGCGTGATCATCACTCAAAGCTATCTTTATTGTATCCTACGTTATTCAAGGACATGATGACTACTTTTTGCAAACTCTTCAATCTAGCATTCAAAGCCTTCCTACCAAGTTTCCTCCTTTAGGAAGCTTCTTTTTCTCTACTCTTCTTACCTGCTCCCTCATAACATCAAAACAATGTGCATTTCCCCTACACAGAACCTAATGTTTCTTGCCTCCACATCTTGGAATATACCATCCCTTTTCTCCTGTTATTTATGCTAAGTCCATGCTTCCTTTCATAATTTGATATTTTTTTCTAATAAACAAAAAAACCCCCCCAACTTTCATAATTAATTCCATGTGGCTCTTCAAATCTCTATTCACCTCGGCTTTCCTTTGTGGGCAATCAGGAGTAATAAGTTGTGTTGCTATTTTTATCTTTAAGATTTCCACCAATCCATTTAGATTCACTCTGTCTCTATATTGAGAATAATGCTAATGCTACTTTCCTAGTGGATTTGTTGTCATGGATTAAACAAGATAATGCATAGGAAGTATTTAGAACAGAGCTGGCACATGGCAGTCTTAATAAATATTATTACACTAAAGCAAATACTTGTATTTTCTGTTTATAGTAAGTGGCTGAGACTTTTCTAAGCCTTTGCTTAGAACTGTGTGCTCAGTTCACACAGAATAATGCTTCTTTCAGGACTGACTTCAAGAAGTCACTTCTCTATTCTCTATAGACAACAAAGAATATTGAGAATTATGTTCATCTTAAGAACATCTTAAGTCACATGGATTTCTTCTCATTCTTGGGCTATTTGAATTTTCATTATCTTTTTAGATATGAGATGATGTCAAGTTGTTGGTGGTTGTTAATTGTAGCACCAATACTAGTTAAGGATGTAACCAATCTGTGGCACTTATGACAGTGCTTGGCATGCAGGGAGGGTTCAATAAATATTGTTTTGTCATATTTTTTTAATAGGCTCCACCCAACATGGGGCTTCAACTCACTACCCTGAGATCAAGAGTTGCATGCTCTACTGGCTGAGCCAGCTGGCCTCCCTCTTTTCTTGTTGTTGTATTTTGAGTGTTCAGGGTTTCTCTATCCTTTCTGTTCTTCTGAATTCAATGATTAAATTGCATTAAAAAAGTCCAAAATGCCTTTTAAAATATTTCAGGATATTTTCATTAATTAAAAAATAAGTCAGTGATATCTTAGAGATTATTGTATCTATATCACTTAAAATTTGCACATCTGTGACACCCTAATTTTTGAGATGACCTTTTTAAATTGGGGAAGCTAACTGACCGCCAAGTATCTTACCAGATATTTTCATTAATTTTTTTTTAGCACATCTGAAAATCTTCAAAATCAATTCAAGAAGTCCTTAAAGAGCAACTACCACAGGCTCAGTATTGTACTATATGTTAATTTGCAAATATGATCTGTAAAATATTAAAATCTAAATATGAATTCTAAAAAGTTTTGCCAGCTTTCACGTTGGATTACTTTAAATCCGTTTTAAAAATGCAAAACTTGTTCTAAAGGAAATGTCTTTAGTAAGAATCTTTACTTTCTAATTTTCCACAGATATTTTGCCCTTTAAGAAAGGCAGATTAAACAAAAGCAAGGTCTTTCATTGTGTGCTTATTGAAACAAAGTTTAAAAAAGTTTAAAAAACAAGCACTTGGGGCTAAAAGAGGTCTTCAAAGATATTTTCATTGAATTCCTTTAATTTGGTAAATTCATAAATTCTTCCTCATATCCAAGCATTAGCAATAATTTGCCTTTAAGATATAATTTTTAAAATACTTTAACAAATCATTAAATATTTTGTTGTTTTTGGACACAAGACCGTTTCCAAAGACTTCTGTTTTGAGATACACTTCTTGCAAAAACAGACCTTCAGGCACCTATATATATATATACCTCGATATTTTTGCCCTGCATAACACTGTTTTGGAACGAGATTAATAGCAACGATCTATAATATTTTGTCTACACATCTTGGCAGTCACATAATTTTTAATTTTGGATTGTAATTTGCATCTCTCACGTGGCTCCATATTTCACCAAGGTTTGAGTCAGCTGACTGGTGCCAGACCTGAATTTGCAGCGGGTCATTTGAGACCGCGCTCCCAGGAGTTAGAGGGAAACTTGAAACTCAGACACAAACACAGGGGCGGGATTAACGGACAGGGCTCCGCACCGGTTCCCAACTGATTGGAAGAAACGAAGTGGGTGGAACCTCCGGACCCGGCCCTCGCGCCTCGGTCGCTAGGGACGCTTTGGCCCGGGCATCACGATGGATCGGGACGAGGGGCTGACGGCCGTGGACAACATAGTCACTCAGTTCAACACCTATGAAGATTTCCTCGACTCGCAGATCACTACCGTGGACCTGTACTACCTGGAGGTAAGGGTCGCGGCGCCCCAGTGGAACTCCGCCCCTCCCCCGCCTTCCTCCCTCTCAGTCCCTCCAGAGCCCCCGCGTCGTGGGGTGATCGCCCCCTGGCGGTGGACTCCGGCGAGGTCAGGCCCCGCAGTTTCCCGACGGCGGCGCCAGGGAAGCGCCGGAGCTAAATCGCTGAATAGCGGCTTCAGACCTTGCGGAACTCGCGCCCCTCGTGGCGGGCGGTGCGGAAAAACGCGCGTGCGCAGTCACGCACGCACGCACGCACGCACGCGGGGGAGCCTTCAATATCTGTGTGTCCTCCTCTCGTGCACCTCCCGGCCCACTCCTTGCAAATCACTGCCTTTGCGGAGGAGGCTGGATTCGGAGACCCGCGGAGACCCTTGCACTGGGCTGTATGTAAATCAGGTCTGGCACGCCGTTTCTCTTTGCTTTGCCAATTTGTATTAAAGCGGAGAAGAGAGTACCCTTCCAGGGCACGTGGCAACACCAACCTGGTGTGTGTATCTGCTGTTATATTGGGCATCTGTGTCCATAAACTTCCACCCCACACTAGTTGGCGCAGAAAGCCCCTCAGTTACGGATACGCAGTACAGGTCGTTTCCTGACTTAGCCTTACCGAGTCGAGAATCACAACTAATGTTGATAGTTTAAAAAAAAAAAAAAAGCCTGCTCTACCGAAAATTGGACGTAATGGGATTGGCTACTGGCTTCCACCCAGCAACTGTCTTCCTCCCTGCTTCTTTAAAGGTGTGTGTTTGATGGGGGGGATATGGGGTGGAGGCGGTGGAATAGAGTTCTCGCATTCTCGGTGAGGCCAGCCAGGATGGGCGGGAAAATAATAGGCTACCGGTCCTGAGAGGCAGGAGGTGAAAGGTGGATCCCTATAGCCCTGGGATATTGCCAGACGGAGGCTGACCGAATGGGCTCTGCCCTGGAGATTCTACTGGCCTGGGGCCAAGACACAACCCAAAAATTGACCTCTCCTTATTTAGGCTAGACGGAACAAGGGCCCCTGTGGGCGCCAGATCACAGCGGAGTCTTGGGAAGGCTTTGGAACCTGCAGCTAGCTCCCCAAATTTCATATCTGCAACAACATAATTCTGCAATTTAGTGGATTGAAATTTTGGACTCCGGAGATCACCTTAAGCAGGATTTTACTTAAATGTTAATTGCAAGGTTTGAAAAGTTGTTGTTATTAAAAACATTCATGTGCTAGGCATGAACATAGTTTTTAAGAAGTAGAAGCATATGATTCTAGTCTTATATGTGCCACAAAGAAGTTGTGTGACCTTGGACAAGTAATTTGATCTTTCTGGAATTATCTGTTAAAAAGAAATACATCCCGGTGATATTTACAACATAGCTTCTGGCTTCAAAACAAGCTTTTTAATATTTTACACAGTATGTTTAAAGTCATGAATGCGTTGCATCTAAAACACTAAAATGAAGGCTGAAAATTAATGGTACTAAACTGTTTGCATCAACATTTTTGCGTGTTTAAATAAACAACGAGATAGAGATAATAAACATACCAATAGGATAAAATCATCTTTATACCACATGTGGAGAATTGCTAAGCTTAAGCCTAGTATCATTAAGAAGGGTTTCAAAATTTTTTTTAGGGTTGGGTTCTTCATGTAAGAATTAAAAACGTTAATGTTAGTTAGGAGTGAGAAATTAATACTTTGTGTTTCATCAATCAGAACTTTAAAGGTCTCTAAAATGGAAAATTATGTATTTGGGGAAATGATAAAGAAATTTACCTATAATTTGGCATGGTTTAGCTTATTCTTATTGTACTTTCATAGAAAATAAGATAAAGATTTAATTGAATAATATTAAGGCAAGTATGTATATTTTAGATTGGGTAATGAAAATTTTTAAGTGTCATTTGCTCTGGGGCCTTATATTCTCTTTTTAAATTAAATTTTTTTTAAAGCTTATATTTATTTATTTGACAGAGAGAGACACAGTGAGAGAAGGAACACAAGCAGGGGGAGTGGGAGAGGGAGAAGCAGGCTTCCCTCTGGGGAGGGAGACCGTTGTAGGGCTCGATCCCAGGAGTCTGGGACCATGACCTGAGCTGAAGGCAGACACTTAAGGACTGAAACACCCAGGCGCCCCTGGGGACTTATATTCTCAAATACTTCCTGTGGATGCAAGTTCATTTCTCGCTTAGGTTGCACAGAGACAAGTGGATTCCTCCTAATTGGTTCAGTAGTAAGGCTAGTACAGAAGGCATGTGCCATGGATCATGGATCCCACTTTGTAAGATGATTCTTGGTCTGTGTGTGTGTGTGTGTGTTTGTCATCAGTAATTGACTTTGATTTGACTGAAGCAAGTTTTATTTTTTATTTATTTTTAAAGATTTTATTTATTTGAGAGAGAGAGAATGAGAGAGAGAGAGCACGAGAGGGAAGAGGGTCAGAGGGAGAAGCAGACTCCCTGCCAAGCAGGGAGCCCGATGCGGGACTCGATCCCGGGACTCCAGGATCATGACCTGAGCTGAAGGCAGTCGCTTTACCAACTGAGCCACCCAGGCACCCTGAAGCAAGTTTTAAATGGTAAATGAGAGATGGCATATTTTAGTCAGAAAAGCCTAGAGTCATAAAATTTGGGTTCTAATTCTGTATTGCATTTTAAACAGTTTGAAACTCCATTTCCTCATTTGCAAAGTGAAGGGGCTATACTAGATAACATTCAAGGTTATGTGTGTAAAATTTTATGAGTCATCTATACATTCATCTGTCCATCCAGGCATCCATGTATTCACCCAACTATCTAATAAACCTTCAGCAGGAGCCTACTGTAGTAGATAGCGCCTTAATTGCTAGAAATTTAAGTAAGAATCAGTTCTAGTCACCTAACTTTATTTTTTATTTATTTTTAAAAAAACTTTATTTATTTGAGAGAGAGAGAGAGCACAAGCCAGAGGGAGGAGCAGACTCCCTGCTGAGCAGTGAGCTGGTGTCACGGCGTCACGGCGCTCCATCCCAGGACCCTGGGATTATGACCTGACCTAAAGGCAGTAGCTTAGCCGACTGAGCCATCCAGGCGCCCCATAGTCACCTAACTTTAGTATTGTGCTTACAGTTCAGTCTAAGTTTTATTTATTCAGCAAACATTTTGCAAGTTTTTATTATCTTCCAGTTAATCTTCTGTTATATAGAATATTATTCTATGGCTGTAAGTTTTCAATTAATTTCAGTAAAAGTACCAGTGCTTCACAGACAAAGTGGCCATATTATCTTTGCTGGATGCATTCTCTATTCTTCTCCACCTGTATGTGTGTCCCTAGAAACCGTCCTCTGCAGTCTTTAACCAGGCTCTTTTGGCTTTGGCTTTGTTTCAGCCAATAGGGGATCAGAGGGCAGGAAGAGGAGTTAGAGAATTTATTCCCTCTCATCTTCCTACTGGTTGTGGTTTGGAAGTGGCTGCATCTTTTAGGTTTGGCCGGCTTTTCATTCCATCAACTACAGCACTCTTTCCTGGTGCTGGCAGCACTCTCTGTTCTAGGAACTGTTTCCTCTCCTGTCTCCTTTTAGGCCTAATGGTGTTAATGACCTCCCACTATTGCTAGCCTACAATACTACATCATCCTATGTTGGTTTCCATTAATCTTGGGATATCTTTGTAAATTGTGCTTTTATTCTTTTTAAGCATCTCTTTTGAGTTTGGCTGCTGCAACCCTGACCTCTATATCATCATTCAACATCTCAGACCACTATAAGTATACAAGTAGTATATGTATGTACTAACTGCAGTGTTTTTATATGATTAAGATTAGGAAGGAAGGGTGCTCGCTTTGGCAGCACATATACTAAAATAGGAGGAGGAAGGAAGGGACATAGGAGAAAAATATGAAGACCTGCACCAGTCAACTGTTTGATGAGATGGAGAAGGGTAAGATGGTTGAGGAGAATAAAAAGGCTCTTCATCCTGTGTCCACTGGGCTTTGCTCATTTTACTGGATGCTCCCTATAATTCATGAGAGGACGTTTATAACAGTATCAGCAATTAAATTTACCTCTGCTAAACCAAATAACAATATTTATTCTCGGAGTTAGTGTTACCTTAAATTAAATAAACTAATCCCCTAAATTGATATAAAAATACTTGAAAAATTTTAGCAAAATTTTTGCACTATGATTTCCAGATTCTTTCTGGATAATTCTTCCATGCTGAATAAACACAGTCCCTTCATTTCAGCTGTGGCCATCTGTGGCCACTAGAGAACCAAAAGACCTATTGAATTGCTTTTCCCAGGTAAGGAATCAAGGGGTGTTTTTAGAATTGTTTTTAAATTTCCCTGACTAATGCATCCTAACTGTGGCTAAATTACTTGTAGAGATTAGCAGTGTGAAAGTTTTATTTAGAGATTATCCTCCCATTATTTAGAAACTAGAAATAAATCACACGAATTAAACCTTTGGACATAAAATTATTTGGCAGACACTGATTGAGATTCCAGGAAAAATCCAGTAGCACAATTTACCATGATTATACAATAAGCCAGCTAATAACCAACCAGTATTTATTGCATTTTTCCTGTGTTTTTCTAGTACTTATTGGATCAGTTACAGAGTAGATGATGTTTCCTGTGAAATATCTTACTTCATATATTTCAGAATCAGCTGTATTCTTTTGTTGATTCAATAGGAAAAAAATTGGCATAAATTAGCTACTCTCTGCTTAAGAGGAGTCCTGCATTTTTCCTTCAGTAGGTTCACAGAGGTGCTTATCTCTAAGTAAAAATATCTAATTCTTCGAGGACATGAGTTCTGATGATCGGGGGTGAAACTGAATCTAGAATGCCACATCCACAGTACTTCTGAAACCATCATAATGACAAATTTTAAATGCTGTGAGCCTAGTATCATCCTCAGTGTCTCAGACAATCCCCCCCAAATCTGTGTTTTTGTATTTAAAGTGTGTTCCATTCATCTGGCACTATACTGACTTCAAAAGCTACTGCTGGAGGCGATGAGTGGAGGCGGGG